CTCCCCTTTCCCCCCCAAGAAATAGTCAGTCCATTCCCTTTCTATGTCCCTGATTCATTATAATCACCAGTTCATTCTGTACATCAGATTATTTATTCACTTGACTCTTAGATTCACTTGTTGATAGATGCATGTTTGTTGTTCATAATTTGTATCTTTACCTTTTTCTTCTTCCTCTTCTTAAAGGATACCTTTCAGCATTTCGTATAATACTGGTTTAGTGGTGATGAACTCCTTTAGCTTTTCCTTATCTGTGAAGCTCTTTATCTGACCTTCAATTCTGAATGATAGCTTTGCTGGATAAAGTAATCTTGGTTGTAGGTTCTTGGTATTCAGCACTTTGAATATTTCTTGCCATTCCCTTCTGGCCTGCAAAGTTTCTGTTGAGAAATCAGCTGACAGTCGTATGGGTATTCCCTTGTAGGTAACTGAGTCTCTTTCTCTTGCTGCTTTTAAGATTCTCTCTTTGTCTTTTGCTCTTGGAATTTTAATTATGACGTGTCTTGGTGTGGTCCTCTTTGGATTCCTTTTGTTTGGGGTTCTCTGCGCTTCTTGGACCTGTAAGTCCATTTCTTTCACCAGGTGGGGGAAGTTTTCTGCCATTATTTCTTCAAATAGGTTTTCAATATCTTGCTGTCTCTTATCTTCTGGCACCCCTATGATTCTGATGTTTGTACGCTTGAAGCTGTCCCAGAGGCTCCTTACACTATCCTCGTATTTTCGGATTCTTTTTTCATTTTGCTTTTCCGGTTGGGTGTTTTTTGCTTCTTCGAATTTCAAATCTTTGACTTGATTCTTGCGCTCCTCTGGTCTGCTATTGGGTGTCTGTATAATATTCTTTATTTCAGTCAGTGTATGCTTAATTTCTAATTGGTTCTTTATCACAGCATCGAGGGTCTCATTAGATTTCGTGAGGCTCTCATCAAGTTTATTGGCAGCTTCTAGCACATTATTGCAAGCCCTCAAAATTGCGTTTTTTAGCTCTATATCCTCCATTTCTGTCATTTTTTTTGTCTCCGTATCTTTTATGCTTTCTTGGTGCACCCCCTTGTGGTCTTTGTGCGCAGTCCTGTTCTAGTTAAGCCATAATTGTTGTAGTTAATACTAGCGGGATTTGACCACCAGGCCAACTGGCTGTGAGAATCAGCTCTGTGGAAAACTTCTGTCCTCTGGGGAGGTGCTAATCTAGCCTTTGCCTGAGGCGATCAGGCAAATGGCTCTGTGCAGGGCTTGGGCAGGGCGGGTCGCACAGGATCAACAAAGCGGGCGGAGGGAGCAGTTATGGCTGCTCTCAGTCCAGTTCCCAGAGGCTCTGCTTCTCAGAACCCCAGCAACCGCTGCAAACCTCGGAGAGAAAGCTGCCCTCACATTCCGAGGGATGCCAGACAGTCCCGCTTCTCCCGTTTGAGTCTGAGTCCCTAGAGACTCGCCCGGATCTGGAGCTCAGAGTCTGAGACTCCCTCCCAATTGAAAACAACAACTGCGCCCTCAGCCACCAGCCCGCTCCTCACGCGCACCTCTGCACCTTTGTATTTTCCACACTGCGCCTCCTCTGAGCCTCGGTATGCTGTTGTCTTTCCTTCTAGTTGAAGAATTTCCCCTCAGCCAGCCTTCCTGTTGTTCTGGGTGATGTCCGTTCCGTCTTTTAGTTGTATTTTTGAAGTGGTTGTTTGCGGCAGCAGTCTCCGGTGTTTACCTATGCCGCCA